GACTCTGCCCCCCGCCCCCCAGCGCCCGGGGAGCGGTTTTTGGGTGCCGTTACCCGCTGGGAGGGTGTTGCCGGCGGGGTTCCGTCACCCTCCGTTCCTCGGGCTCGGGAGATCGCGCGGCGCTGCGGGGAGCGCAGACTCGTAGAAGTTCGGTCGGTGCGAACGCAGCGGGACTTTATCCGCGCCCGGGGCCCTCGGCGCCTCCGGAGCAGCTCGGACGTTTGTGTCCATCTTCCCTCGGTATCTGGCGGCTTGTGCCGCACAGCCGCTCGCAGCGTTACACTTAATGTCTCTCGAACGCTTACAGTGTTGGTGTGTTGTTTTACGGTTTGTGGATTTTCACGGAAGTGAAAAATCTATGATCTCTGGCCAAAGGCATTTTCAATAAGCCGCGAGTGTGGGTTTGTGTTAGCGGTAGGCTGCTGTTTGAGAATGGAGCAGCAGAGACAGTTTCAAGTCTCTTCGTCAAGGTTGGTAGAGTTCTTGCAAGCTTTGAGACAAATTGGAAGGTTTTTTTATAGTAAGCACTGTTTTTAAAGTTTACAGATAAACTAGCTGTGTGTTTTATTACACTGTAGATGATGCTTAAAAATGCTTAGTGATGTATTTTACTTTCTGCTGCTTGAAACGTTAATGGAGCAGTGGGGAGTTCCAGCGGAACACCTTTGGAAGGGTGACATTTCACATGCATGACCAGAAGGAGCGCTTGGCTCATACTGGCTTAAAGTAAAATATATGTGTATTTTTCGCTGCGTACTACCCCTAGCATCTTACATTTAAAATGGCAGAGATTTATGTGTCGTTGTTTTCTATTTATCTTTTACCTGTTCTGCTTCTATGTGATAGTGCACAGCTGGGTTTTGTATGCCTGTTCCCCTGCCCCAACTACACTTGTTATTTCTTCCTTTTATTTGCATGACCCATTCTATTGCCAAATTCTTTCTTTTGCCTACTCATGTGCACTCTGGTATTTGGCACAGGATTTGAAAACTTTACTGGGTGCCTCAGAGCTCAATCTCTGAGAGCAAGAGACTTAGTGGTTTGTTTTTTTTTTTTTCTGAGGGATTCAGTGTGAGCCCCCTCGATTCTTCCAGGGGGAGTGGGAGAAAGTGGGAAAGGTATTTAAATTCCTATGACATGAGAAGGGGAAAGTAAGTCTGGAGTAATTGTTTCGTGAAGGGATCCAGCATTTCCATCTCCAGTGTGTAAGATAAGTTTCAGATTTTCTTCTTTCTTGATTAAAAAATGCGTTCTCTTTCTTTTGGCTTTTTCATTTGTTGTTGTGGTTTGGGTTTTTTTCTATGACTGTTCTTATTTATACCTAAAAGTGGGATGATAGGAGTACCTTTGTTGCAGAGCTCTGGCAAGAGAGTAGGGGATACAAAAATGTTCTGATCCTTGATAGCTCCTTTGGTACAGTTTCGCAATGGCGTCACTGTAAACTAGAATGAGATCAGTAAATTTATCAGGCAATAGTGTAAAAAGGTTGTGAACAGCAGCAAAGCAACTGAAGTTGTCTGTCCTTAGGCATGCAGACAGACTGCACTGGTAAATGCAGTTGACATTTGGAAAGTCACCTTTCAAAGTGTAAGGGCTCATAAATATCTTAAATGCTGCTGAAGTTGGTGGCACTCATTCAGTAAAGCTTCTTGTGCCTCTTTAGTGTGAATATTTGTTTTTATTTTTGAGTTGGCAACATATATAACTTCAGGAGATGAGTTGTTTGATTTCTTTCTATTTTTTAGTAACGGGGCAAACTCTCCTGACTGAAAGTGATGTTTTATTCTAGGTGATACTCAGCAGTTCTCTGAGGAGAAGGGTCTGTTCTGCCTTGGTAGCAGTATTACCACATTGGATAAGAGTTTTGGTGTTAAGTGAATATATGATGAAGCCGTAACTCAAAAAAAAAAAAAGTTACAGTAGCATGAGTAAATCTGCTAATATCACCAGTAGTAGTATTATGCTTTATCTGCTGTTTGGCAGAGATGCTATAGGAAAATTTAAAATTAGAACTTCCTAGAGCATAGCTGAAGTTACCTGGTAAAGTTTATATTAATGAATGTAAAAATGTGGCATCGCGTCTTTCATCTGGCATTAACCAAGGTAAAGAAAGGCGTGGGAATTTTGTCACAAAGTAGTAGCTTTTCTTTTTTTAATGTTAACTCTGCAGGAAAGTGAACAGGAAGTAAAGTAACTAAATTACCTTATAGATGAAAATAGTTAGGAAACTAGAAGCAGGTGAGAAATACAAAGATAATGTAGGTCAGCAGTGACTGAAGTAAAGAGAAGTCAGGAAATGTGGAATTCTGATCTCATCTGTCATACTGATCAGCTACGTGGGTGTGCTAACCCTTCCAATGCTTTATTCGTTAGCTTCTACAAAAAGGCAAATATTTATTTTCTTCTTTTGGCAGGTGTTGAGGTTAATATTTGTAATGGTTGAAAGCTCAAGTGCATCTTTGGAAGCCAGCTCAGGAGTTGCTGGGTTTGGTGTGCGCGTGCTGCTGGCCAGGGTTGGGAGCCTCACCACTGGTGCTTGCCGCTCTCCCTGGCCGGGGGGCTCACGGCTGTAGCCCCGGGATGCGGAGGGGGGGCTGCATTTCGGCCTGACGGGCTCAAGGGGCCTGGAGCAGGACCCTCCAACGTCCCCTGTCACTGTCCTTGGTCTCATCCTCTCAGCTGCCGAGCAGCATGGCGACTTGCCTCTGAACACTCTGGTGCTACATTTCTTGGTTTTTTTTTTAAATGTAACTGGAACTATCAATTCTGAGACTATATTTTTAGTTCTTAGTTTGGGGCATTTTTTTCCTTCCTTGGCTTTCCGCCCCCC